CTATAATTAACTAAAGATGAAACTAAAGATGAAAAGGAACCATGTTTCTTGTATATCAGATTATCAGTATACTGAAACCAATGACACTCAAAGAAGAAAAACATGTTGATTTAAGATATAATATTAATAAATCAGCTTAAAAATACAAATACTTGCTAAAAACCTCATGAAACAATCTCAAAATAGGATATGCACATCTTCAATATGTATGAAACATCTGTACTAGTTTCAAAATGATCCATGGATAATTTGAAGATATGTTGATTTTACTCTCTAAGAATCGTTGTAGAAAAAATCTATGAAACAGTTTAAAAATAGATGTCTGTAATATAACAACCGTATACAGTTCCAAAACAGCTCATCATTTAGTGGAAGATTTGTTGATTTCATAATCTAATTACACTCTATGTCTACAGAAACACATGTTTCTGAAATATTGACAAGGGAGCTTAATTATCAAAAAGAGCAAATTTAAAAGGATGAGTGAATGTGGATTGAACCAAACAATCAAATGCTATCAACCCTGACAAAATTTTAGTAAATAATTTGTTATTTTTTGGTTCATCTTATGTTCTCTTTAATGTAAATAGCAAAGAGCACTTGAATTTTGGAACAGATTGGGGAGGGGGGAATCTCATTGTGTTCCCCTTACTCCTGAATTCACACCTCATCGAAATTGCCAAACTTCATGCCAAAGATAGTCAACATGCTTTCATCCCAACTTCTCTTTTGAAATTAGTTAGCAAAAAAAATATACTCTATCATGTGATCATGGAGAGTAGGTAAACTATAGAAACTGTCACTTGAATTTTTGAAGGTGGGGAGGAAGGACGCTTATCAAAATTGTCAAAATTCATGCCAAAAATTAGTCAACATGCTTTCATCCCAGTTTCTCCTTTGATCTTTATAATATTTTGAAATTATTTGGAAAAAATAAAATATGCTGCAATGTGATCATGAAGAGTAGGTAATGTTGTAAATAAATGTAATAGAAAGATGATAATGTTAAGGTCATTAATTCTATATCCTGTCAGTTGACAGTTTTAAGATATTTAAACTGGGCTATGCCCTACAAGTTAAGTGGCTGGTCAATATGATCTTTCCCCTTGTAATTATGATACTATTGTCATACTGGGGTCATACCAGAAATGTATAGTTGGGACTGATTATAAAACTTTAGACAGAGATTAAAAAGTTCATAAAAGCTGGTCACTTGTCACATATCAAATTGTTTGTGATTGCTTTTAACAAGTGCAATACTGCCTGACCAAGGGTCACTAAGGTATATGATAATTGTTGACCTATGACTCTTCACAGAGTTGGATGCAAACAAATATTACATAACTTTTTTTCATTCACCAGTACTTAAATAACAATTGTTGTCCAGCTATAATGTAAATGATTTAATGTCTGCAAGATGTCAATAAATTTGAACCCTAGATATCTTTGATGTTTAATATATAAAGGTAATTGTTAATTATAACACCTATGTAATATGTTTATTGTTTCATTTAATAGTGAATACTATTTGTTCATCAATGGCATTATTATCTTTTAGAGTATAGAAAAAGGCCAGCTTAAATCAACATTATTTGAAGGTGTTGAATCTGTCCTATTATGGATACGGGTCACAAGTTCTAAATAAATTGACAGCAACATTATTTCTTCAATCCTCAATCCTTTCTGTCATACAAAATTACCCGCTACTGCTACATGAATTCTGGACATTGGATATTGAAGTTACTGGCTTATTTAACAAATGCTGATAGGAAATAAGGATGTAATAACAACAATAAACTATTCTTATTTCAGAAAATTGTAGTATTAAAGGATTAATATACTTTTACACAGGATTATTAGGCTCAATTACTTATCTGATAATCTATAGTGTGTGACAAACACTTACAAAAATTCTTCAAAAACGTTAACCCTTATTGACATAATCAAAGCACCTTGATTAAATTTATGGCACATGTGTGGTTTATTTTATGTTGATGTTACATGACAGGTAAACAAATGCTGTTTACAGTAAAAGATGGGTGGCTGGGTGCTTATTGAAGTTCTGAGAAACAGTGGAAGGTTGGCTCTAACTTGAGGGGGTAATTATTACATCCAGTACAGTATTGGTGTGCAATATCTCAATGAATTACTTTCTCAAACCCACAATACACAATACTAAGGTGTATGTATAAAAAGTTAGTGAAAGTATAATATATATTGCAGTCAGGGTCAACATAATTGTATCTATAAACCCCATATACATGTAGTATATTGTTCAAGGAAGCTTACAAGATATACCAGGGTTAATTTAATAGATATTATATAACTTGCAAATTATACACCATACAGACCTACCAAGTGACATCAAAGTCAATTGATACGTTATCAGATTGTTTGAAATCATTGAATTAATAACTGAAGATAAAATTTGTATGTAGATTCAGTAAAAATTACCAACAAGTTACTGAAATATCTCAATCCATAAACAAATTATAAATGTCATTTCCACTGAAAATTAGATTAGAGCCATACAGAATTAAAAAGGGTCGGGGGGGGGGGGGGGGGGGGCTTTACTTGCTGCTTTATATTCTGGGTTAATTGGCTGTTCTGTGTGCTGTGGTTTTCCTGTACATTAGTGGTCATTAGAAAAAAGACATGACAAAAGACGAATTTTCAATGCATTCATTTCTACAATCTAAGGACGGATAAAATATTAATTACCAGTCAATCAAACAAGTTTGTAGATTTGTGTGTTTTGGTACCTATGACATTGTGTGTTTGATGGGAGTAACCCTACATTTGTCTTATATTCTGCCTTGTTCCTTTTAATTTGGATGGTTTACCATGACCCCTAAATAATGTGAAACAGACTGGTTTACCATGATCAGTAAACTTTGCTAAATAATGTGAAACAGATTGGTGTCAAAAAAGTGATCGAATTTGGATTTTACACTGATCCTTTTGTAAGAACCTGTTTTCCATATTAGACTGAGAGGGTCATAGACCATGATCTAAATGACATTTATATGTAATCTGCCACTGATTACACAAGAGTTTTGAGGACTGGTAACATATATAGATTAAACATAATAATATCAATGGTGAAAGCATTATAATACCTCTTTACAATGACTAGTCAATTTGAATAATGTTTGATGAGAAGAAAAAAACACAAATTATGGCAAACTTGCATTGCTCTATTAAGAGGTGTTACCTACTAAGTATTTCCAAACAGATGAAAACTCTTCAATAATCAAAGATGCCTGTCTTTTGAAACCTGCCATAAACGAAGCTACTATAATGGTGAAAATATTATTACAGGCTGCAGTGAAAATATTTGCCATAGCTCTCACTCAATGTCAAGCTGAATATTGAAGGTTTTATTGAAAGTAATTCACTGATTAATGGAGGAGAAATATTGAAGTACTTGTTTGGCACTCATACTAGTGCTATAAAAACAACAATTTACCAACTTCAAAAGACATGAATAATTAATTTGTGATGACTAGATAGAAATATGCAGGGTATACTGTTATATAAGCGCAATGACTCCTATAATCTAGTATAACTGTGTATATTTAGAGACCTCTCCCATCAAATGTAATTAAAGTAATGGAAGGGCTTTATTATATATAGAATAGTAGATACATTTTATAACAAAAGACCCCAAAGCCTTAATCCCTCACAAGAGAGTGCATGAATTGTTCATACCTACACATTAAAATCCTTTAATTGAAATCTTTGTGGGGCCAATTTCAGAGTCTATCAACCAACCATATTTAATAAATGTCCAATTGGGAACAATTTTAGCAGGTTCACAGTCAAGGTCTGTCTTACAGAAATTTAGGCAGTTCTACTTGAGTTGATTACTTAAGCATTGGGTCCAAATAGGGGCAATTGATCCAGCTGTATTAAACCAGTCCAGTGTTTACTATTCAGTTCTCTTTTACCTAAAGAAAGGGAAACCAGCTCAAAATCAACTTATGAAAACAAGTGAAAATTGTCAGCTAGAATCACAATAAATCTGGAACCCATACTTAGCCAAGATCCTTCACTTTTCAAACACAGAGACCTTTCAGAAGATAACTTTGTAATTCTTGTTTGAAACACATGATCCAATCATTCTGTATTTTAATAGAATTCTTATGCCAATAAACAATCCCACTATGACCTAAAACAATTCCATATAGAACTCTTTCCTGTAAGCTTATTGCACTAACAATTGTCCCTATTGAGTCCACGATCTGGTACGTGCAGATATGTTTCGATATGATCAACATGATTGCAACGACTAACCACAATATATGATAAGACCTGATAGGATCACCACAATTAAAACCAGGATTTCAATTGTAGCGTGTATCGTAATAGTGGGAACCTAGCATTGTCACCTACACGCAAACTACTGTAATGGCAATGGAGTTTAATTATTGTACCTTTCTGTTGTACCAGTACTTTCTGGGGTTTTTTTTAATTTTAATCTTATTTCAATGTGGTTTGATAGATAATATGTTCACCTATTTTAAAGCTCTCTAAAATTCCTTCAGTCACACACTGTTAAAAATGGGGTCAATTTAACAAAAACGAAAAACTGGTTTTGTAGTCTATATAGCTTTAACATCATTTCATAAAAATTTACACTGTTTTAAAATTATTAGTCAAAGATGTCTGACCATTCAGGTGTGTTAACATCTAACACCACGTGTTCAATAGATGTTCTATATGTGTGTGTAGGATTTTACTGGCTTACCAACCAGGAGATCCCTGGTTTCATCCTGTGGTGGTCCACAAAGTTCCTCAGGGTTTTTCAGTGTGATTTCCCTTCTGTCAGTGGTACAGTGTGCATGTTGGCGTGCACGTAAAAGAGCACTTGACCGTGTGAAATGTATGAACCCTTTTTCATTTCATCTGAAATTTAACTTTTTGGAATCTGTGAAAAGTGAAATTTCTGTCATGTTTGTGTATATTAGAGAAATAAAATAGAAGAGACTGGTACTTACAATCTGACTAGATCTGTCATGGATGAAAATAATAAATCTGGTAAAGACACTAAATTATTTCTATCCAATCGTCTGAAATATAAATATAGAAATATTTCAATACACCAAAGGGTGGTTCAATAATATCAGCTTATCTTAAATATGATAATGTAAAAAATAAATTGTGTTCATGTGTATAATGAATGCAAGAATTTTGCAATGGAGACAAGACAAGAAAAACACAAAACACAACACTCAAAAAAATGGTTGATGGTTTAATCATTGACATAAAATAATATACCCAATGACCAATTACTTAGCCCATTGGCATTGAATAGGTCACCAAGACATAGTGATAGCAATTCATTCTTTACAAATAAGATTGGCAAATAGACAATACAAAGCAAAAGGTATACAAATGAAAAATGAAATGATATGGGGTTTAACGTCCTACTGTTCTGTTCCGACTGGGCTAATGAAGACAGGCATAGCCATACAGTGTGCTATGAGGGAAATTTTGCCCAGACAGCAGCACTATGGCCTACTGTTATATCGAATTTCAACTGTCAAGGGATCTTTTACATGCACGCCAATGTATACATGGGCAAAAGGTATACAATTACAAACAAAATTGGTACTGAGGAGTGGTAACAGATATAGGTTATGATACAAAAGTACCACAAAAGTTTATAATAGATATATCCAGGGGCAGATCCTGGAATTTTATGAAGATCTGACCAGTTGTACTGGGATGTCGCGTCAGGGGTCATATGAGTGGCTTTTGATCCTGTGACATCAGACATTGATTAATCAATCAGCGTTGACGTTTCTAGGGGTTTACCCACAGTTCCGTGCTGAGCACGCCAAGAACTCGCCGTAACAGACCGTTTCATTGGCTAATTCCCCACATCATCTAAAACACCTGTTATATAACAACTCTTCCAGATCCTAGTGTTGTGAAGACAAGTAAAATGAAATTCTGAACTAGAAAAAACAAAACGAAATAGGATCTGTGTTTTAATCAGATTGCAATAGAACACTGTGTTTTGACCAACTGCTTTGAAAATAAAATATCAACGTAATACTTTTGATTCACCTGGGCCCTTATTCACGAAAACTTAAACTAAGATACAATCGAAATTTTAAGAAATACTGCAATTCGATTGGCTGACCAGTAAAATCAATTTGCATATATCCAATGAAGTTGCAGTATTTCTTAAAATTTCGGTTGTAACTTAGTTTAAGTTTTCGTTAATAAGGGCCCAGGTTTATTACATTATGATTTGAGAATGCTCAGCAGATGTCTATGACAATTGGAACTAAGCATCCTTATATTTCTTAAATCAAATGATTTGAAGGAAAATTCTGAAACTAATTGGATATTAAGTGTTAACCTACCAATCTGCTAGTCAATAAATATGGCCTACATACGAAAATATTCACAATACATGTAAATGAATGAATTGGTATATGGATATGTAGGTATGGCTACAGAAGATGGCATTGATATTGTGCCCAAACTCAGGAAAAGTCTAGTGGTAGATTATATACTCTTCTAAAAAAGTAGGGGATATTGAAATGCAAATACATGTACCTATGCAGGTTGTGATATGATAAATAGTCATGGACATTTGACATGCTTTGAGAGTATGTTCACAGATGAAGAACTTATCCCCCCAACAGAACCACTGAGCTGCATGTGCGACACACAATAGCCCCATACACGTGGGAGGGGTTCATTGTCAAATTTGACACTTCAAGGAAGGGTTGATGAAAACTGCCGCTTGCTGGTTTATCCTATCCATGTTTGCTTTCCTATTGCTTCTTGCATAAGATTTACTGTTTAGCGTATCTTTGGTGTGTTACGTTCAATTTGATCGGGAGACGTGTTCGCCGACGTCAACGTCGACCAACAACACTGCGAGAATTGGCCGTGGCACTGCAAGAGAAGTGGGTCAGATTGCCCCAAATCGTGATTGGACGGTTGATTAGGAGCATGCCACGACGAATTGCTGAATGTCTGAGGATTGGTGGAGCAATTACTCATTATTAAGACAAAAATCAAAAACGTCCATTTTCACTTCTGACAGTGTATATCTAATTGCGAGTGAAATGGAGCCGTCAGATATGCTGCCCATATGAACTGTTTATGTTCATGTGTAGGCAATTGGCCTGTTATTAACATACACTGGTTACCTTTAATAAAAACAGCAGTTCATTTCCACAGTTTTGTATTGTTTCTGAATATCCCCTACTTTTTTTTGAAGAGTATATTATCTCTTCAAATTTGATGTCATTGCACTGTGCAAGCTTTGAGAAAATGATTTTTTAGGATTGGCTTATAAAGGGTTTTCTTTCTACAAAAGTCGAAAAAATTCTGGACAATAACCATGATCAATATTAAACAATACATTGTGATTGTACAATAATTATAAGGAAATAAAAAATAAAAATATTGCGCTGCATGTTATCATTCAATCAAACCACCCATTTCTTGACAGCCCAATTATACAACAGATGTTCAACCCTTTAAAAAGGAACAATACTCATAAATACTTCTTTCTTGTATAATTAAAGTTCATGCAATACTTGTTTTGCTGGAGTTTTCAATTGGGACCACCTTAGTACATTTTTAACCTCCTTGGCAAAGAGGGAGGTTGGATGGCCGAATGGTAAGCACATCCGCGCTGTATCATAAGGCCTGTCATTAAGTCAACTGGCGTGGTTTTGAATCCCCGGTTGTACAGTCGCCTGTCTAACCTCGTTGGGTTTTCTCCGGGTACTCCGGTTTCCTCCCACTGCTAAAGACCCCTACGCACAAGCGAATTATTGAAATAAAATTAAACCATATGTTAGTCCCAAAATGACCTAGTTTGTGTCGAGTGGACGCTAAACCCCATTTCTCTCTCTCTCCTTGGCAAAGAAAGTGATCGCTGGTCAAATTATTTAATGTCTTGCTGTAGAAGGTCTGTCATATAGTTTCGCCACCCCCCCACCCCTCCCCTCTGAAAAAATTTTCGACAATAAAAAAAATAGATATACATTGTCCGTCAATATTACAGCACCCCCGAGAACACTTCCCGCCACCCCTCGTTGCTCTGAGCTAGTTACGGCCCTGCATATATTCAAGAGTCCAATGTTCCTCCTCTAAAGACCCCTGCTTGAAAGCACATTATTTGAAATAAAAATAGTTTTCTTAGCAGAGAAAGGCAGTTTCTTTCAACCATATCACCATTTGTTACAACAATTTTATTGTTCTAGATACGAATGATATCCGTACGGTAGTAAGTCAAGCTTATTTTATAAGAAGCCACGGTAATTATAAACCACCGTTCATCTTACATTAAATTTAACCTGTTGGGTTTCATCCATGATGGTTTATAGGCGTGATTTTCGTCATAAAGTTTCCTTTAATGAAACCTAATGAACAAATTAGGCACTTTTAGTAAGATACATCTAACTCTGGAATTAGTCCTTGTCGGCGAGTTGTATTATTAAAATGATTGTTTCTGCGCATGTCTAAAAAATGGCATCATTTTTAGCTGTAAAAAATACCCTGATTTTCACTCGATGGACTTTTATGATATTAGGAATTGAATACACATTATTTGCAGGTCTGTCAAAAAGAACTATCTGGTTGAATTTCTTATATCTTAAAGGGACAATAACACTCTTACTGGCTTGAAAGCTCCAGAAAATAAATAATATCTCTATCTAAGTACTAGATGTTTAAGTGTCCTACCTGCATAGGCGTAGGAGCTCAAAGTAATTCAGGGGGGCATAAGAGAAAATTGCCCGAAATCAATACCGTTTTTTCGGGCATACCTATCATAAGGGGGCTTCGGGCATATTTTCGGGCATGCAGTGGACAAGAAAAAGACGAGAAAATACTTTTCGGGCAGTGTGGATCTCAAAGAAATAAGTTAGTTATATTTTTTCTCTAAACGTTAATAGAAAAAAAAGGTCGTCGAATTTTTCATTGCCCCCCCCCCCCCGGCTCCTACGCCTATGCCTACCTGTTGTGTAAATTATCCATTAAATCCTATTTTACTTGTCCAGAGGGTTCGAAAATATTTTTAAATCGAAGTTTCATTTGAAAAGGTTTACGTTAGACGTTTCAAACCATTATGTTGAATTTTTCAAAATTTTTAAATAAGGTGTGTTAAGATGAAATTTGTGTCATCAATTAATTGGAATATTCTAAAATAGTACAATTTGTTGACCAGAATAAAGATTGGGACATATTATTCAGTAACAGCAAGAGTGGTATTGAGACTTTAAATAATATAAATATTAGACACTTTGTATTTATATAGCTGGGCCAGTGTAATTGATGAATGTCAACAGAATGATGCCAATTACGTTTCTTCAAATCCGCTCTGTGAAAGTTCTCTCAATTTGTTTTAAATCGCTCTATATTAACTCTTTATATAAATTCAATCATTTAAAAAAATCTAGAAAATAACTGCTCAAATATTTTATGTTGAAATTTTCGATTTATTAACTTTATATACGCATCAAAGGAAAAGAGAGAAAAAGGGATAGCACGAACTGTACATTGTTTAGGAATTGGGTGACCGAGTGGTCTAATCAATCGTGCGCACACAATCCAGGCTTAGGCAACATCCAGGTTGAAAAGAGCTATACCTAGTGTATTGTCAACTCCCACCATTAACAACTACTGGAAGCAACAGCGTTATTTGATACTGTTCGGTGTCCCACTTTTCTTTACAAGAATTTAACTTTGTGATCCGATCAAAAAAGGTCTTATTTCGATAACGGTGTTATATGATATAATGGCTGCAGTAACAATGGTGCATTGACAGCAACCTGCATGACTTGACAGCAGTAGAGATCTTTCTCTAACTCAACTTGAGTAACTTTTCCGACGTCAGTAGAGGTGTAATGCAAGTGGGTTCGATCCAAGCTACCCCCAATAACTGAAAATAACTAAATTAAGGCATTTCTGTTTAGGGTTTTTTCCCGGAAATTCCACCTCCACCACTGTTTATCTAGGTAATATAGGTTATCGTGAACGAATTCAATTCATAATTCTTGTTCTGGGATAGGCACACTTAATTTATTTTTTTATT